TTGACTTTCTAATAAAAATAAATAGACCTTAAAAGAAAAAAAAAACAAGAAGAAGGGCCTGGTGAAGTCCTCGCCTTGCACACTCAGGGATCCCACATGGGCATCAGTTCTACTCCCGGTGGCTCTACTTCCCATCCAGCTTCCTGCTTGTGGCCTGGGAAAGCAGTTGAGGATGGACCAAAATCTTTGGGACCCTGCACCAGTGTGGGAGACCTGGAAGAGCTCCTGGCTTCAGATTGGCTCAGTTCCGACCACTGTGGCCACTTGGGGAATGAATCATCAGATGCAAGATCTTCTTCTCTGTCTCTCTTCCTCTTTGTATATCTGACTTTCCAATAAAAACAAATAAATCTTAAAAAAAAATAGGGCTCTGAAAGTAATCCCAAATTTAATAACACTTCATAAAATTTGATTTTAGGGACTACATGATTTAAAAAAATAAAAGTATTAGTCCTTGCTTATGAATCCAATCACACTATTAGATACTGTTATATAACTATATTCTTACATCATTATACTATATTATAAAGGCTAAAAATAAAGAAGCAAGAAAGAAAAATTTGATCTGTGGCAGTTAGCGGGTGTCCTCGTAGTTACTTCTCATTATATCATTTTTATTGGTCTTACACAGCTGTGATGATGCTATCTGCACACTTCTGTATTATGCTTGTTCAGTGAACACGCAAGGATTCTAGGCTCCGATCAATCTGTGATTTCCCTTGTATTCGCCAGCCTTTCACTGCAGGTACCTACTTCACGCCATAAGCAGCGGCAAGGCTCACAACACGGAAACAAGCAGGCAGGGTCCCTTCCCTCAGAGTTCACAAGCTCAGGCTTGGCCATCACCCCATGCTTTCACAGAAAATAATGACTTCACCTGCATGAGTTTGAAGATAATGAAACATGCCTGAAATTTGGCCTATTTAATTTTAATCTCTGGAGGAAAATTACTACATACACAAAGGTTTACCTCAGAACAAATGAACTTTTTTCACATTTAATAAAGTTGTGTGTTTATAGTGAAATAGCTGCAATTATTTTATTCATTTTATGACATGTCTTTGGAACACTTACTGCAAATCAGGTTTTTTTTTTTAAGGTCAGTTTTGTTTTAAAAATCAGTACCAATGCTTTCATTTCCATAAGATATGAATTTTCAGATTATTCATCACATTTAACCCTCTCCTACACATTTGCATGATACATTTGTTTATGTGCTGGCTGATAATCACAGTCTACCATTTTAAGTACAGAATGTAAGGCAAATGCTTATATACAAATATACAATGACCCAGTGCACCTGGAAGTATTTGCATTGTATGCGCAAACATTTGCAGTTGTATTTGACTTCACGAACTTGGTTGGTTACTTCCTTTGCTACTTTCCAATTTGTGTATAACTGCCTAAATGCTATCTTAAGAGACAAAACAAGGCACTGGATCGCAATTCCAAACCTTCTGAAGCACATCTCAAATATCAACACAAGAGTACTTCAGAAAGTTAGTGGAAAATGGAATTAAAGGGTGAGTTTCTTTTGGTGCGTAATCCTTTAAAAAATCTACTTAAAGATTTTTTAATGGATTTTGTGAAGCATCCTTTTAAGAGAGGGCTATGAGCAGTGAATAATGAAAGAGCAGCACACAGTCAATCCAATTTCTGTGTCCGGCTCCATTCCTTTGTAGTGACAGGCAAGTCAGCAAGCCATCAAGTTTCTCACTCAAAAAGGAATAATGGTGTTCTCACTGTGCTTACACCTACCAGCACAAAAACTGTCTCTGTAAAAACACTACACATATTTGAGAGTTAGGGCTAAGGATCATTTATTTACAACCTTGTCTGAAAAAGCTTAGGATGATTAGCTTTATTTTGTAAAGACGCTGCTTCTTTACTAAACTGTCACAAAGTTTTTTTGTTTTTTGCATAAGAAAATTGTGTTCTTTAGAGACCACACATACTTTTTGGAAAGGGGTGCTGCTGTCACCAAGCAGCTGCTGGGAAAAGGCTCCAGGGACACAGTTGGGAAAGAGAAAGAGAACTACAGCAGCAAAACAGATCGTGCAGCAATCCGAGTTGCTTTAATTTTTACATTAGGTTTTATAAGGAGAAATGCCCACTCTTGCACATTTCTCCATATTGACAGCTTCAACCGCTTTGATGTCTGTGTATCAGGCATGAAAGAATCACTAATTGTTTTAACCCACAGAGACTGGCATGGATTTGTTTGCCAATGTTTTCCCATTGAAGGAGATTATTACCTAGCTCAGTCCCTAATGATGTTTGTTTATAACAGACCTCCCAGGAAACAGAAATCTACACACTATGAGAATAAGTACTAGTAGAGCAGTTACTCTCAGAGGTCTAGAAGTCAATAAAGGAAAATCTTTGTATCAGCCAACGGGCAAACTGAAAATATTCAGAAAAAAAAATCTGTAGCTGCACTGTAACCTGCACACTCTGTCATCACTGAGAGTCAAGTACCAGATACTCTAACTGTTACTGAGATGGCTTAAGGTATGAGGACTTTTCAAAAGGTTCTTGGAAAATAAACATGAAAACTTAAACAAGAACTTCAAAATTGGCGCACCAAGATAACCTTTTAGTTGCATCGTCCTTGAGGTTTCAGAAGTACCCTTCTATGAGGGAGGATGTGTGGTAGTAAGCGAATACTATGCCATCTGAGAGCAGGGACTCAAGCATCAGAGATCTGGGTAAGCACAAGGGAAGCCGTGCTGTATGGATATGCAGGGAGGATTGTCCTTGGAAAACCTTGGGTTCTTCAAATACTCTACAGGAAATACACAACATCCCTTATTTACAACTGTGGGAAATTTCTACTCCTCAACTGAAATTTACATGAGACAAAGGTATCTCTAGCTTAATGTACTTACTTTGACCAGTAAAAGCAGCAAGTCATACTTCTCAGCCCCATTAACCTACAGGTGCAGAACGGTTTCGTGAAACCAAGCTAAATCCACAAAACCTGCCTTCCTAGCCCTTGTATCTACCACAACTTTATCAAACACTTTGTTCTTAACACCTCACTTTTCTTTCCCACTTAATTTTCTTTTCTATTAGCATATAATGGTACTTTCTCTTCATCTTTTACTAACTCATAGTGTTACATAATGTAAATATCATTTTTTTTTAAATCAAATAATACCTAAGAGCTGCCTACTTGGCTGTCTCCAATCTTTTGCTATCCTATACAGTACTTCAATGAGTAACTTTGTTTACTTGATTCAAGCTATTTGTGCAATGGATTTCTAAAACTGACACAGCTTTGTGAAAGAATAAAATGCATCTGTAATCTCCTCCAGAGGAGTGTGCTGTTTGTACTCCTCAAAGATGGTTAAGTATTTTCTGAAAACCTGTCATAAAAAAACACCTGCCTAGAACCTATCCCCCAAATTTCCATTCAGTATATGAGCGGCTGGATCCGAGAAATCCTGCCTTTCAAAAGCAGCCCAGACAACAAATCCCTGAGAATCTCGACCCCAAAAGGTATTCTAGTCTAATTTACATTACCCAAAACCAAGAGAAAGCTGGAATTAAGATTTCAATCTCCAAAGTTGATATTCCATGGCCACTCCTTCAATTACCTTTTGGAGTGCTTACAATGTGCTGGACATTCTAGATGTCAAGGACAGAAAGAGTACCTACTCAGGAACTAACACTGAAAGACACAGATATGTAATTACGGAAAAATGTGTGTTTCAGTAGTAGAGCTGTGAATGGAATACTATGGGAAAACTGAAGAGTGAAACTTCACACCGCTGAGCGTGCCAAAGGAGGTTTGCAGAAGGAGGTGCTCATGAAGTGAGTAGGTGTTAACCAGCAAAAAGGAAAATACACTAGAGGCCGAGGGCATTCTGGGTAGAAAACAAAACATGTAAAGGTAGACTGGAAGAATCAGACAGGATATGCATGTGTGTGCCTAACTGGAAACATTTTAATTGCTAGAGAGTAGAAAAAGACTGCAGGGACAGGCAGGTGTTGGGTCACTAAGCACTAATCACTTCAGGTTACACTAATAAAGCCGAGGTTTCTTCTGTACTCTCCCTCCAACTAAATCCTCCAAGGCTTTCAACAGCGACAGGGCCAGACTGCTGGCTTAGATCTGTGGACAACGGGCTGGAAAACATGCAACTGGGAAATGAAAGAACAACCAGAAAACTGAGTCGTCACATGAAGCCTGAGGCAGCAGTGGAAAGGAGAGAGGACTGATATTCATCAGGGGTTAAAATGAGACGTGGAGGGAAGGAGCAGGACAGGGGGACAGTTTCAACGTGTCATTAAACCATTACCAGTGCCAAGAAAATTTTGGTTTAAGCTACTGTTTTAGCAGCAGTGACAGAATTTCACTGATCAGTCAAAGTTACCATCTGGTGTTGGTATCGATGAGGCCAGGAAGAGATGTATGGAGTCCAGCAAAACACAAAGGCAAAACAGGAGTTTATCCTCATTAGCATTATTCTTAACCAAGTAAGTAACGCATTTCCAGGTAATCCCCAACAAGCAGTTAACACTGTATTAAGGACCCCTCCAGTAATAACTCTCCACTGGTGAGACTAGACCCTATTTCCTCAGCGTCCATGAAGCCAGTTGCCTAGACAACCAATAACAACATAAACAACTGCCTGCACAGAGGGGCATACCTGGTTGGAAGGCAGCAGCACAGACAGCTGCTTTCCCAAAACTTAGCTGGCACCAGCCAAGTTTGGTGTTAGTAAGGCATTTTGGGAAATCTGAACACCGAAGTCAATCTCTGAGGGAGATCTGAGAGTCCCCGGTGGATTCACTGCACTTCCTCATTTATACACATCACCAGATACTTGAAGGAATGCAGCAAGGAGGGAGTTATGGTTAACCCACAGGAAACGTGGGTCTTTCTTCCCAAGGATCCTAAAAAAGGCAAGTTAATCAATAAAAACATAACAGAAAGTCCACCACTTGGAAAGCTCGTGAATAAAACACATATATAAAATAACACAAAGGCTTACCTTTCTTTTATCTTCATCTGTTGATTCAAATTTGAAAGTAGCCCTATGCTGAGAGGGGAAAAAAAGGGAAATAATGTCATTGTGAATACTCACATGTTAAATTTTGGTTATGTTTAAAAATTCATGAAGCAGTAACACCAGAAAAATGCTACCTTTCCATATCTTGATCTTATTAAAGGGATATGTAAGAGATGAGCATGTAAGCAAATATAAAGCAGTATGAAAAGATTATGCAGGAACATATACCATGGAATAGAGAGAGCCAAGCCAAGCTGCCCAACAACATCTAGAATGTTCTGCAGAGTAGACAGCATTTGAGCTGGACCTTGAGCATGCATTAAGTCTGCCAGGAGGCAAGCAGCATTCTAGGAACACAAACAAAGGCTCAGACGTGTGAAACTATGTGATATATCCTTGAAAATAAGCAGCTCCCTGACACTGCACACAGGACACACGTTAGGGGATGAGGGCGGGAAGCTGGGAATGAAAAAAGCAGACTGAAAAGAGATCTGGAAGAGTCTTCCAATACTGATAAGGCATTTATACTTTCTTGTTCATATGTAACAGGAAATCATCAGAGAATTGTAGCTAGGAGAAGAACTTGACAGTCCAGTATTTTAGAGAAGCAATTCTCTGAGAAGCTGCTTAAATCATGGCTATCATTACGAAGATGCCAACAACACTGAGGAAAAAAAAATAACTGGAAGAGAATTGTGTCGTGGTGCTCCTGAAAGTATTAACAATTCCATGTTCTACTCGGGCTGACAGGAGTGAGGAACTGGCTGGAGCACTGTCACAAAAAGTAGTGGTACTCGAAAAAAAAATAGAGCAAATAATTCATTAATTCTTTATTCTCCAGAGTTAGGAGAAACAGATACGCACATGCATCCTAAGTCTTCTTTCTACCTTTTTTCCGTCTTTCTCTCATTGGCCACACTGACAAACACACTCACCTCACTAGGAGTTAAGGACAACAGGCCCTAAGGATATAGCAGCACCACAGGTGGGTCTGCACTCACAGCTTTGCAGAAGCAACACTAAAATACAATGCTTATTAATCAATTTTTTTCATCTACTTGAAAGGTAGTGATAGAACAAGATTAAGACCAGGAGAGAGAGAGAATGGTGCAGCCACTAGTTCATTCCCCAGATGCCTGCAACAGCTGAGGCTGCACCACACGGAAGCCAAGAACTCAGAATCCCATTCAGGTCTCCCTCACCAGGAGCAGGAACCCAAGCACATCAGTTACCACCTGCTGCCGCCAAGCTGCCTTAGCAGGAAGCTGAACTGGAAGCAAAACAGTCCAGACTCAAGCTGGCACTCTGACTTAGGATGCGTCCTCTCAAGTGCTGACGTGCCAGCTGCCCCAGAACACACCCACCCAAGAAGCAAAAATCTTTTGAAATTAAGAGTTGGAGAAATGTTGTCAGAGAAGAATTCTGAATAGAAGAAATGATCAGAGAAGACTTAAAAGTAGGAGATAAAGGAAAGCAGATGGTACAATAGCTCAACTGGCTAATTCTCTACCACCAAGCGCCCGCATCCCATATGATTTTCCAGTGAAAATAAATATTTAAATTAAAAAAAAAAAGAATGGATATTTAAGGAAACCTGATGGAGCTATATTCACTTAAAAGAATAATGGATTGGACCCGGCATGGTAGCCTAGCAGCTAAAGTGCCTTGAACGTGCTGGGATCCCAGATGGGCGCCAGTTCTAATCCTGGCAACTCCACTTTCCATCCTGCTCCCTGCTTCTGGCTTGGGAAAGCAGTGGAGGACGGCCCAAAGCCTTGGGACCCTGTACCCGCCTGGGAGACTCGGAGGAAGTTCCTGACTCCTAGCTTCAGATCGGCTGAGCTCTGGCCGTTGCGCTCACTTGGGGAGTGAATCATTGGACGGAAGATCTCCCTCTGTCTCTCCTCCTCACTGTATATCTGATTTCCAATGAAAATAAAATAAATCTTTAAAAAAAAATAATGGGTGAAATCAGATGGAAAGGGCACAGATTCAGAAGTGTATCCCTTAACTGACAGATGGCAATGAGAAGACTATGAGAAAAGTATAAACAGCATTCTGAGAGAATACGTTGGGTAGAAGCTCACAGATCAGATCAGACCAAAGGAGAGTGAGACTGAGGGCACGCAGCCATATACTGAATGCACAGGAACAGGCCAGGAGGACACTGCTGCTGGGAGTGTAAGATGACACAAACCTTAAAAGGGAAAGTGACTTGGCAACACATCCTAGAAGCCATAATCACACCCTTTGATCCAAAACTCTCAGTCCTAGCACCTAATCCTAACAAAAGGATCCAAAACAAGAGAAAAACTACATTGCCAAGTGCCAGAGCATTAAGGCAACTTAATCCAACAAGGAAATGCTGACATATACTGTGGCTCTAATAAGTCTACTGAACATATATCAACCTGATAGACCATGATAGAGCAACTTTAAAACTGACTAACTGATGGTATATGATTCTATAATAACAGAAATTTTTAAAATAAAAGATAAAAATGAATGAATGAATGAGCAGTGGACAAAAGGAAAAAAGGAAGACCATATTGGGAATCTGAGAAGGTGCACAGAACTCAGTTTTAATAAAAGCTGACATTAATAATAAAGAGGCACCAAACAGGGTCTGGCGCAGTAGCATAGCGCTAAAGTCCTCGCATTGCATGTGCCAGGATCCCATATGGGTGCCGATTCTAATCCTGGTAGTCCTGCTTCCCAAATCTGGCTCCCTGCTTGTGGCCTGAGAAAGCAGTCAAGGACGGCCCAAGGCCTTGGGACCCTGCATCCACGTGGGAGACCTGGAAGAGGCTCCTGGCTCCTGGCTTCAGACTGGCTTGGCTCTGGCAATTGCAGCTGCTTGAGCAGTGAATCAACGGATGAAAGGTCTTCTCTGTCTCTCCTCCTTTCTGTATTTCTGATTTTCCAATAAGAATAAAATAAATCTTAAAAAAAAAAAAAGAAGCAGCACCATATGTTGGGGTAAAATTATAGACCATAGCTCAGTTCAATACAAGTTAAAAGTAGCAAATAATTTTTTTCTGCCATGTGTAAAACTGATTTTGCAAACTCTCCATTGTTAATATAACACTTTTCTTAACCTTATTTGGTATTGTGATGAAAGGACCAAAAAAATCCCATATTTTGAATATGGGAAACCATTAACTTACAAAACTATCCTAACAACTCCTATGTACATTTAATCTTTTATAGTGAGACTTCCGAATATTATCGGGGTTAATTTTTTCTTTTGCCTTTCAAACACAAAGTTGATCCTGTCATAAAATCACAATATTAAAAAAAGAAATGTTTCCAGAAGACATTTCTTAGCAGCATAGGGCTTAACTTGACTCAGGAAAACACACTGGCCTGTGAAGCAAGTATTACAAATTGAATTCTGAATGGGCTAATCTCGTCAAAGCTCAATCTTCTAAGATTATTTGGCTCCAACATATGTTGACTTTTAACAGGCCAGCTGCTTTTACCCAACCAGATCACACCTGACTTCAGCACTTCTAACCCTATTCTCTCCCCTCTTCTTGTGAGGAAAGGCTGGCGATGGCAGGTAGAGCAGAGACTAGCATTTCTGGTTGTAAATGCCTTACTGGAATTGTTAGCCAACAGCCAACCACTTCATCTTCTTCATACATTTGACCTCCAGAGGAACAGGAGCAACAAGTTCAATACAAATTGTACAGCAAAACCACTGTTCAGCTCTTAGAGCAAGCAAGACAAAACAACTCAGTCACATATTAGATTCATGAAGACTTCTCACGGCAGGTTTTATCCTATTTGAGTGAATTCTGAAAAGTACAGGCATCAGACAACCTGGAGTTTGAGCCCAGTCCTGCTGCTTACTAAAAGTGCAATGCTGGTCAAGTTATTCATATGTACTATGTATCACACTTTTCTTATCTTCATTTATGGCACTATGCCCATAATAGGTCCTCAATAAATGGCTACTACTGTTATCAGTACATGGACTATGCTGTGTCTTGCCAAATAATGACCTATTAACAGAAACAATAGTTACATATTTCTCCACTTAAGTAGACTCAATACAAGGGGTTTAACATATCGGGGGTGCTGTGTGTTATGCTGTTTCATGAAAAAATAATTCTCCAGAACTAAAATTTAGTTACATATTACATAAACCAATCTGGAAATAAGACAGTACAACAAAGGAATAGTCCATCAAACGTGCTCTTCTGCAAAATCCCCCAGCGGGAACAGAGTCAGAACTCACTCAAAAAAAGAAAGCAAAATGTCCCCTTACATAGTCCAGCAGGTGTATATCCTATTTAATGCAGAGTAGATGGTTAGGACGGTTAGGCTCTTGTAGCACAGAAAGCTCTCAGAGAAGACTAACAGAGGACCCCCACCAACCTGCACCTTCACTTGCCCACACAGTTGACACACTTCCAATTCTACTGGAGTGCCATGGGTGGTCAGACCTCAGGCGGCCTCTATGGGGATCAAATCACTTCTCTGGTTAACAGCCGATGATTCTAGCTCTCAGTTTCATCACCTACTAAATGAGAAGGCTGGATGTCTGTCTTCTTTTTTCAAGGATCCTTCTAGTTTAAGTGTTCTGTGATTCAGGAAATCACAATACTACCGAACAGGAGCTTGGATGATCTGGACTAGAGCATATTTCTACATATTTCTCAAAATTAATTAGCTCATTCTATAACCAAAGTGGACCTCCATCAGGACACAACAGTAGCTAAAGGAAGTAGTACACTACTCTTGGAAAAAAGAAAAAAAAACAACTTTCTGTCCTCAAAAATACTAAATAGGGTAAATGCAACATAGCTGTGCAAGAATCCTACGTCACAGAACATGAAAATCAGGTCTACTTCCTACTAAGCACCCTAGAGACTATAACACCGTGTCTTGTCTTTCTGATTCACAATTTCCTATCTTTCTCCCCCCAGAAGAGACTACTGAATCAACTTGCATTATTCCCTTGACAACTAGACAAGCTTTGTTCTTGGTCGGTTGGAAAGGTCTTTGCTCTTTCACACAGGGGTGGCGAACATTTAACCCATGGGCCATGTAAAGTCTGCAAAACCATTTTGTCCGGCACAGTCAAGGCAACCACAGACAGGATTCAAAAATCAATAAATTCATTGCAGGCTAACTTTTCAGTTGATAATTTTGTATGGCCCATGAATTGTGTTATAAGGTTCCTCACTCTGCAAAACAATGATGAGTGAATGAAGGAAAGAAGGCTTGGAAATGAGTCTTGGTGACAGTGTAATTAGATGTCACTTCCTGGAGCCAGGCAGGTAACTGCTGCTGTGAACATGGGACAAGGCATCCACCCACTATCCATCAGAAAGCACAAAGGCCAAATAACGAAGTCAATTCCCAATTTTCTTGTTGTGCTCTATAAATTCAGCGACCCATATTTAATTCCTGCCTTTTTGGTCAAAAGCTAACAGTTACAGCACGCTTCTTGAGTGGCAGACACTGTTCTAAGAGACTCAATGCATGTTAACTCCCTTAACCTTGACAATCTATGATAGGTACTATCTTTATCCACTTTGGGGGATAAAAAACAAAAACAAGCACACACACACAAAACCCTAAGAACTTGCTAGTCTTAATGTCCTGTGATTCACAAAAAACTAAGACACAGCAAAAATAAGCCACTTGTCCTCAATCACACCGTTAAGAGTGCAGGTATTCCAGCTCCAAGGTCTGTGTTCTGGCCGTATGAGTTCTTTAGTGCCCTGGTCATTCTAACCGTACTGAGTCCACTGTCCTTAATGCTTAGCATCAGGTTTCATTTAATTTAATCTTTCTGATCCTTTCAGAGAATGGTATTATTAGCACAATTTTACACCTATGGCAACAGAGACCAAAATAACTTTTCTATACTCATGGAGCTAATAATCAGAGGTTAATCCCAACTTCTTCTGACTGCCTCCTTTTAAGATCCAGCTTTAGGATACAAGCATTGTAGTGCATCAAGTTAAACCTCTGCTTGGGACACCTGTATCCCTTCCAAGTGCCTGAGCTGGAACCCCAAACTCATTACCAATCCAGCTTCCTGTTAATACATTCCGGGAGGCAGCAGATCCCTGCCACCCATGTGGAAAACTTGAATGAAGTTCCTGGCTTCTGACTTTGGTTGGCCCAGCACCAGATGTTGTGTGTCTCTGGAGAGCGAACCAGCAGATGGACGGTATCTGCCACTTGCTGTCCGTGCTGTCTGTCCTTCCACCCCAGTCACCCTATCCTTCTCCTTCTCCTCCATTCCTGTCTTTAAAATAAATAAAAAACAATTTCTCAAAAAATATGCTACCTTGGAGCTAGCAAGGGGGCTTAGAGGTTAAGGAACACAGGCATCCCATGTGAGCAGCTATTGAAGTCTCGGCTGCTTCGTTTGCAGTGCAGCTTCCTGCTCATGTGACTGAGAGGGCGAAGGAAGTACCTGAGTCCCTGCCACCCTGGGGGGGGACAGGGATGGTGCTTCAGGTGCCCGGCCTCCACCTGGTGGCTGTAGCCATCTGGGAAGTGAACCAGCAAAAAGGTTCCGTGTGTGTGTGTGTGTGTGTGTGTGTGTGTGTGTGTGTGTGTAGCTGCAACTCTGACATTCAAATAAATCTTTTTAAAAAACGCACTGCTTACAAAAATAAAAGGGATTGGATTTATCTGAGAAATAAGGAACTGTCCCTTTTCTTCTCCCCAACAATCAACCTATCACTCTCTTTCTACACCATTCTTTTCTCTCCATTTGAGCTGTCACTGCCCCATAATCACCTGAGTCCAAATACTCTCAAGAAAAAAATGAAACACTTAGTATCCAACTATTCTTTTTTTCAAGATTTCAGATTCTGCGTAGCAGAGAGCTGAGCAGTTCAATCCCACTTCTCCATTCCCGCTGGCCCCTGTCTGATCCTCGCGCTCCTGCTTCCCTTCGCACTCACCTGCCCCGACGTCTACCTCTGAAGGACAAAGCCTCCCCAGAACACAGAGCTCAGCTTGTTTTTCCCATTGTACTATAAACTATCCTGGTCCTATTATAATTAGGATCTTCACCAAACAAACCCGCTTTCTTCTGAAAGAGCTATCCTACCAGATTCACATCAAGTCAGAGCATTTGCAGGCTGATCTGGAAAAGGAAGTGCTTGGGAGTCGTCCATGGCACCGCACGCGGCCACCTTAAACGACAGACAGCGGCCACCACAACTCTGAAAACCTTCGCAACAGGAAAAGGGGCGTGAGATGCCCAGGACTTCGCCAAAAGCCTAAGTGGAAGCCAACCTGGAGGGCTACCAAGAAAAGGAAGAGATAAACTAAAGGAAGCAAATCTGAAGTCTAATTAGTTTAGCCACGAAGGGAAAGAAATACTAAAGGAGGTGATAAGATCCAACTGGAGATTTCTGCACCTCCCTCCCTTACAGAGGAAAGTTCCTACTCACTGCTGGGTGTTTGGCATGTAGTAAGCGCTAAATAAACACCAGTTGATTCAACACAATGGACAAGTTCTCTGTTGTATTTTTATTTAAAAAAAATTATTTTGTAGCTGCCTCACACCTTCTGGAAGCAGATAAAAAGTCAAACGGAAAGATTATAATTCTCACAAGAGATCCACCTAGGCATGCAGTTTCGCTGACACACTAAGGGCCAAAGCATGAAAGAAACTGCAGTGCTAAGAAATGAATCGAGCAGAAGCCACGCACGCGCCCAAGCGAGTGGCACAGCACCGTAGAAAGGGCGCTGGAGCTGGGTTGGACAATCCAGATTCTGACCTCAGCCTGCGCACTCTCAGAAAATGCGGAAGACCAACACTCCCCTCAAGGGCTGCTGAGATCCAGTGGGGATGAAAACCCTTCAGAAACAAGATGTGTTGTCTTATTTCTAGAGCTTTCCCACCCATACAGGAAACAGCATACTGGGAGCTGAATGTGTATCCAAAGCATGGAAGTGCAGTGGCAGACATGAGGCAAACCCAGAAGGGAGACTCATGAATGGAGGCAAATGGAAGGAATAGATTGCTGCATCCAAGGTGTGACCTGCTGTCAGCTGTGTTTCCACTGAAGGGAGTAGCCCGTCATGCCTATAAAATAGACTTTTAAAGGGGAGAATAGAGGTGTGGTCATGACACCTTTTGAAGTGAGCATGTCAAATTCCTGGAAGGAAAAGCAATGGAGAACTAACGGTTCTTGGAGATTTAGAGATGGGACTGGGACGCCAAACAAGGTACCGTTTCACTGCTGAGTTGTAAAGTGCAAAGACCTATACTTGGTGAAGACTTGGGTGAGAATCTTGACTTCCAACAATGACCTTGGGCAAGTTATTTAACTCAAGGAGTCTTAATTGCAAAACGTTAAATGATACCTCTTAGGATGGTTGTCAAGATTAACTGAGATAATGGCTAGGGAAGCTGTTAATGTGCTACAAATAATAGGGATTATTTGGGCTTAGAGTCTCCACCCACTGACAACACAGCATTCCATGACCTTGGATGTGATTTCAGCTCGAGGCACCTCAGTTTCCTCAGCTTTAAAATGGGGAGGATGACAGCATCCACACTCCAAACGCTCATGATCAAACGGGACCACAGAAGGGACATCAACACCTCGAGAACTACACGGTGCTGTGACTAGACAAAGAGCTGCCATCGTGGCTGATAGGTTTTATGCCTGTCAAGGGCCATGTTTACGCAGAGAGGTACCAATTTTTATCCCATACAGGTGAGGAAGTCTCCCATGCGTTTATGCCTCCAGGAGTGGGGCTGGACGCACAGGCACCCAGCTACGGACTCGGGGGTGTGACTTGCACGCTGGAGAAGAGGACTTGCTAGGACAGGCTTGCTGGGCACCGGAGGAGTGGGCGCTCGAGTGGGGGCAGGGGGGATACAGGATGCAAACATGGGAAAGGACTGGGGGCACAAACACGCATGCCCAAGCCGGAAACATTTTCGGGGGGGAAAAAGCAATGCGCATCCCCGGAATGAGGGGGGTGGGGTGGGGAAGGATGCGCTGTGCAAGCCCGGAGGGCGGCCCGGGGGTGCGAAACCGCACTCCCGGGGCCAGGGCTCGTTACCTTGTCGCTGTAATCCCTCAGGACCCGCTCGATAGCCCCCGCTTCGCCGGCCCGGACGATGTAGAGGGCGCGCTCCTCATCCATGGCCGCAGGTGCGGGGGAGCCGCGGCCGCTCTGCGCGCCCAAGCCGCTGCCTCCAGGTAAACGCCTCGCGCCCCCGCTCGCTCGCTCGCTCGCTCCTTCCCAGCTTCCTTCCTTCCCTCTTTCCCTCCCTCCCTCCTGCCTCCAATCCGCCAGCCTCCGCCCGGGCAGGCCCGACGTCACCGCCCCTCAACTTTCACCCCGCGACGTCACCGCTCCCCCAGCAACCGGCGCCTCGCGGCCACCCCGACCAGGCCCTGGACTCGGTGGCGGCCTGGAGAGCGGCCTGAGGCGGGGTCAGGCTCGGGGTCCCGCTAACTCGCCTGCCTCTCTCTCCCTCGGAGAAGAGGCCAATCTTTCGAGTGGATTTTTACAGAGAGACCTGTTCTTCTCTCCTGACCCTCGTCTATGAATCATTCTCCTCAGCGGATGAGAGCGACCCGGCTCTTCCCCGCCCCTCCAAAAGCCTGCAGCTAAGTGGACTACAACTCCCTGCATGCATCGGGGTCATCCCACTCTTCCATCTGGTTTACTGGCGTGCTGAGTGGCATGCTGGGATTAGTAGTCATCCAGCGGAAAAGACTTCCCGCCAGCGGCATGCTGGGAACTGTGGTCCTGCGAGGGCCGGAAACGGGAGGCCCGTGGCCGCTGGAGGCCAGCGAGGCGGGGACCGTTAGGGGGAGGGTCTGAGCCTGGGTTTTGTTCCTGCGCCGCTGGGCAGTCCCTTGGCTGGTTGGATTGGCTTGCCCTCGCGGAAACTGCCACCCCTTGGTGGGAACTGACCGGAGCCGGTTTAATTCCCTCGTCTCTCTCGCTTAGCGGTTTCGGTCTCTTTGAAATGCTTTCCTTTCTCCTTGTTTGCGGTCGCGTTTTGCATTCAGCTTCAGCTGTGTGGGAGACTGAGGGCAGCCATCCGGAGAAAGCGGGGCCTGGCCCTCCGAGGCCGTCACGATCGCCGCCGAGGGCTCTTAGCGTTGGCCTCCACGTAGCTTCTAAGTTTCACGACGCAGATTTTTGTGCAGCCAGAGGAACCCGCTAGGTTAGGAAGTTTGGTCTAAGACATGTAGGCGGTAAATGGGAAACTGAGACTTGAGCCCGGATCATGCCTTCTCAGGCCAGGTCTGGACAACCAGATGTAAACGTAGGGAATGAATACAGTGGTGGTCGGGGCGCTGGTAGGGGGCTCCCGTTGGCCAAGAGCCAGCTGCGTTCCGTCTACATCACCTGTGGCATAGCTCGCTTTCTCCCAAGTTCTTTCCGAAATGATGGCGAGCCTGTGGGACGCCCTGCACAGCTGAAAACAATGTGGCATCAGTCCGTGTCTTCATGGAGTTTCCATTCTAGTGAGAGACCCCCACAGGCTAGTTAGCGTTTTTATTTTTGTGAGCGAACTAGATCTTGGAGAGGTTAACATGATCAGATTCGCCAATCTGGGAAACTCGTGCCTTTTCTGCGCTCCCAAGCTGTTTGGCAAAGTGGATGAATTCTTCCCTAGCAATGCCCAGTTTTCCACACTAAGCCACCTCTTCCCACTCATTGTCTTTGATGCCTTTCTCTCTACAAGCTGCTTTTCTCAGCTGTGCTGAAAGGAACACGAAAGAGGCAAAATGTACTGGTTGAGACGCAAAAAAACCTAACGTGCAGGAGGTGAGGTGATGGAGCGACTAGCGACTTGTGTGCTGTGCTCCGTACTGTGCAGACGCTGGGAAATGGGAGCTTTGCATTCGGGGGGATTACACTTTTTCATGCAGACAGCATGTCTTGAGCGTATTTGTAGAGCTGGGTATCAGTGTAGGTCTTGCGTCTGCGATAGCAAGATTTTCATGTCTTTGGTCAAAGCACACTTATAAAGTTCATGGAATAGTTTCAATCCTTATGTAAAAGATCTTGGAATTTGCACTTTGGAGAGGTTTACCAAAAGTTTTCGTTTGCGTGGTCTCAATGGGAGATTCTGTTGTATACAATTGTTTAGACACTGATGTTTCAGGAGATTGGATTGTTCCCATTTTAGATCACAAAACAGGATCAGATGAATTAGGTAATATGAGGTAGGCCTCAGCTATTTCCATAACAAAGGGTTCAGATGGCTACTCTGTCCAGTACTGTAATAGGTGCTATCTGAGTAACTATTTTCATATCTGGGAGCAAAGGTCTTCCAGAGAATATTCACAATAAAGTTATCTCAGAAGAAATGTTCCAGTTAAGAAGGCTCTTACATATATCTTTGCAACGTCTGTTTGCCAGGAATATTTTTAGACTCTAACCTTGTACTTCTAAAAAGAGACTTATAAAAATGTGAAGCCACATGAGCTAACAGCTTGGGAAACTGTACTTTAGTCATTTTAATTAAGCGTTAATACTCTGATTTTCTAAATCAAAAAGAGCTTTGACTCTAATTCAAGTCATCCTTTGACCACTGACGAGACTCTGGTCCCAGAAAAATTAAGTGGCTTGTCCAAAGTCAATAGTTCAAAGCAGATTCTGGGAAGGGAGCCTAGACCAGCTAAATCCTGAGTCGCAACATCACCTCACCCCCTGCACGTTGGTTTTGTTTGAGTCAGTGACTGCTGAGTGCAGTCCAGCACTAACTCTGGGTCGTGTCGGTGGGTAGGTACCACAGCACCAAGGAGTCATGCTTTAGAGCCGGAGCAATCAAAGTGACAAATGTTTATCCACAGGGCATATTACAGAGTAATATGGTAATTCTACACATACATACAGCTAGAGCTTTGCTACTCTCAAAGTACCTTTCCATGGATTCTCTATTCCTTATAATAGCTGAATAATCCAAGGTCAATAGGACAGGCACTATCTTCTCTTTTTACAGAGAAAAGGGAAGTTCATGGTGTTGATTAGCTTACTCATAAGCAATATGTCTGCTAATAAATGGCAGATACAGGTAAGGGCTAGCCGTGCACCAGACTCTGATAACATAAAATGTTATAGACTCTCAGGTTAGAGGCAAAGAGAAAAAAACCCTGCAAACAAGCACTAGTCGTTTATTTTGGACTTTGATATATCTATCCTGCAGTGGCATTTCCTCTTGCCATGACAAGGGGCTAGTTGGACTGTGTAAATTTGTAAGGTCTTTAAGGAGCATCCGGTACTAACAGCTTTTATAATCCAATTCTTCAACATCTCTTTTCAGACATCTTAGGTAGAGTCTGTTATGGGGTAGGCAGCTAGTTCAGGGTCACTAGTTTGGAAGCCACTCTCCCCCCACCACCTAGGTGTGTAGTCCCTTTTGCCCACCTGTGACACTCACCTGTCATTACCTGGAACCTGAGAGGGGACAGTAGTGCATTGCTGCAAGCCCCCATGAAGACCCATGATAAGAAGGGGCTCACACTTAGTCAAAAGGCTTCTGGCACTCCCCAGTACTTGCTGTGTGTCTGTATTCCTCACCCTCTTTTCAATGCTTGGGTGGGACAGTAAAGATGTTGAAGCTAAGATGCTTTGTATTTCTAATTTGTGCACTTTCAAGAGTTCCAGGAGAGGTGAGGCCTAACAGTAATGGAATGTGGGCAGAAAAACCAGAAAAAGATGACCTTCAGCAGCTTTGTAAGTGTGCCCAGGTTGTTCGCTGTATGTCTCTTAGGATAACTTCTGTTGCTGGGGAAGCTGGGACATAGATCTCAGTTTAATGATTTGTTCCTCTTGGAGTTTCGATTCAGACTGGATTGCCATATGGACTTGTCATTTGCTAATTCCTAGTGGCCCTGTCATCACCAAGCTTGGTTAATAAAGACTTCTTAATGAACCCTAGACTTGTCTGATGTGCTCTCACTCGCACTTCACAACAAGACAAAAAGCAGCAATTTCTAAACTAAATCTTTTGTTCTAGTCACTAGAGCTCCAGATTAAAGAATTCCATTGCTTGAAGATTTTATCTGTCATTTAGCAATTACCAGCAGTATCCCAGCTGTAAAATCAGGCAATTGACCCAGACAATTATTCTAATGCTCAGTTCCTCATTTGAATATGCTCATTCCTTAGACGAAGCTATGAATGAGGGTGGAATTTGGACAAATGAATATATCATTGCTTGGGCGTTACTGAAGATCCCTGTATAGTTGATCTGTTGATGTGATCTGGACACAGGTGGTTGTAAAAGCTTCCCAGCTGGTTTGAGAAAGAAACCAAGATTGAGAACTGCTGAACCAGTATTCTGGCAGATTAATCACAGACCTAGTGTTTTAGAACGCTATCAGACTCACATGCATGTAAGTCACTGGTTAGTTGTTGGGAAATCAAAATGATCTGGCAAAATGGAAGCTGTTTTATTTCATTTTCTATCAAGAATGAAGTTTTGCTTTACCACATTGTTAACAGAGGTTTTTTTTTTTTTTTTAAACAACTGCTTAGTGCGTAACATTGTCTTAGGCACCATAAAAATAAAATTAAGTAGAAATAATTGATTCTGTGTTTTGGGGATATAAGAAACAAAGAATGAGTCATTTTTACTGATAGGAACAAACAGAGCAAAGTACTGTGCAAATCAAAATTAATCAGAGAAGCCTTGGAGAGAGAGGATGGTGGCAAGAGCGTAGAGGGCTTCCAGATAGGGGGAAATGCTACGAGAAAGAATCCGGAAACCAGAATTAACAAACTGCTTCCAGAAAAGTGATAGCAACTTAGCTGAACTTGAAAATCAGCAATGAGGATTTCTTAGAGGTCATTTTTGTCAGTAGAATAAGGAAAAGTTAGCTGACAGATGCTACACAATCCAAGTTCAACTTGCAGTTTTTTTCATTACCGAAAGCATTGCCTTATGAAGCCATATGACATAGAATTTAATAGAATTGGGAGAAGAGGGAATGTTGCTAGCCAGCTTTAGATCTTTACACATATTTTACCTCTGGAGTTCACAAAATTAATTGGACTAGGTGACTTCAGGGTTTCCTTTTTTGTTTGTTTAAAAAAGAGAAACAAATGTTTACACCCTGTGGCTAAGACATAAGCATTCCATATCAGTATGCTTGGATTCAGTTCTGGGCTCTGGCTCCTGACTCCAGCTTCCTGTTGGTGCAAACCTTGAGAAGCAATAAGTGATGGCTCGTGTAATCCAGTCCCTACTACCCACAAGGGAAATCTGACTTGAGTACCTGGTTCACAGCCT